CACCCACACCCACACCCACACCCACCCACACCCACTACACCCACACCCACACCCACCCACACCCACACCCACACCCTTATTAGAATAAGACTTAAATCAATGTTATATTCTTATCTGTAGATAAAATACAATATGTATAAGAACTATGTTATTAAATGGTATATTTTTCATAAAAGAAAGAAATGATTAAATTGAAATGCTTAGACAAGGAAAATCAAACAGGTGAGATGTTACGCTTCATTCGTATTCTTAATAATCGATGTTATGAGACCTCAATTCAATGAAATTATTTCGTGTAACAATATCTTATGTTGTCGTAATATTTAAATTGTAATAATTGTTCATATGTATATGTATCTGCTATTTTCATAAATGACTTGTAGATGTACCTTGAATCATCGTGACCTTCTCCGTTTTCGACTATGTCCGCACTGATTTATATTCGGATGACTCTATTTCTAAATGAAAGTCTGTTGCTTCACGGTAGCCATTGTTTTTTTTCGACACAACTTACAGTTTTGCCAATTTTCTTCTTTGAATTCTTGATAGTTTCTATTGCAAACATACTTATTTGTACCCAAATCATACGGAACAAGTTTACTAAGAATGTATCTATCAGTGTCAATGACAAAAAAGAATCAGATGCACATCTAGAGTATAATTGCAAGATAAATCAATTCATTCTAAACTGATCGCTCAACTATTGAATGAAAATAAACGAGTTCAAATTCAATGGCTTCATTTTAATTACACTTGTAAAACAAACTATGGATATTAGATTAACACTCTATATTATAAGAGATTTTTATTTTTTCGTGCTGTTATTTGACTTGTGCATCTGATTATTTTATTAATTAATTGTGTTAAAAAATTATTGAAATTATGAGCGTTAGAATACTTCTTGTTCATGAGAAAAAACCAAAAAATAGTGTCAATATATTACGTGAGGTGTGGGTGTGAGTATGATTCTTGTATTTATCTACACCCACAGCCACACCCCACACCCAAACTGTACACGGACGACACTCAATCGATTCGGTCGAACTACATATGAGGAAGCACACAACCCTGAAATGAAGCAATTATTTGGCCGTCCGAATATGGCCAACCGTTCTCATGAATCAGATGCAAACCATGCAATAACTATCTTTTTGCCACAAGAGAATAGTGAACATTCTGCAGCACGTGAAAAATTCGACTTTGTACAGGTTTTCCAAACAGAATCAGCAATTCTTGAATATTCAATTAATAAACAAACAACAAGTATGTGGCTTAGATTCTACAATTGGTTCACGCTTAAATTTCGCACTTTCCTCGAACGTGACGACTTTCAAATTGATCCACTAGATCTACACAAACATATTGATTTTCAACAATTTCTCCAACGCAGCCTATCTGATCCAGCCAGATATCAAAATGCAATGCAAATGATCGATGAAGCCGAACAAAGTAATTCTATCGAATCGCTAATTACCTTATAGACAAGTGAATTTGCCGGTTTCTATCGTTCACTGAATCTGCAATTGGCCCAATCAACGGAAGATGCTTAAATGAGTCCACACTTATGCGATTGATATCTCAACGAGTTTTATATTCATAAGAACGAACTTAAAAAAAGTGCATTCAAAGGCACTGTCTATCGGGGTGCTACCTTGTCTGTAACTGATTTGGCTGTGTATGAACATGCTTTAGCTTGTAACTCACCTGGTGTACTGGCTTTCAAAACATTTACATCAACATCAAAAGATCTACGAACGGCTCTCTCATTTACTATGGGAACCGCACTAAGAATCGATCAAAAACATGTTTTCTTAACTTTTTAAGTAGAACAAGCGACATTAACTATCTTTGCAAGTGAAGACCTATCTTTATATGGTCACGAACAGGAAGTACTGATATTACCGAGTAATCTATTTATTGTCACTGGTATTGAGAAAGAATCCACTTTGCAAATGACCCAGATCTATTTGCGTCATTGGCATATGTCTGTTTCGTTCTGGAAAAAAATCAAGCGAACAATTCAATCCGGCAAGAAAAGTATTCTATGAAAAACAAATAAAAGATGGATAGGCAACATAATGAACGATAATAAAAGCAAAAAAATGTCTAACTTGTAATGTAACTAAAACTTTATAATAATATAGTAAATAAAGATTGATATCCACTATACATCTGGAATACTACGATGTACTTCAAAAAAGCCTTTCATAATCATTCGAAGTATGACTAGATTTCTGGCTTATATAAGCTATGTCAACTACTTTTCTAAAAGAAATTCAGATTTTCTTTTCGTTTTAAAATGTAAATTTTACTTTTAAATTATTCAGTAGGTGGCATTTTTTCATTGAAACTTAATGATGATTCAAAACTATCTCTGAATGAGGGTATTGAAGAAGAATAACTCAAACCCACACCTTCGTATGTGTAGAAATGAATTTCTTCATATCATATAAATAACAATTAGAGAAAAGAAAAAGAATCTTGTTACAGATAGTGATGATAATAACGTCGTAGTATTAATTAAAAATATCGTTTTGAATCAGAAGAAAACTTCATGTCAACGATAACTATATTGAATTATTATTACAAAAAAGAATCTTCATGTACTAAAATTAAATATTTAAGATGAGTAACCAAACATTGAAAACGGTATGATGATGTTTTCCATCAATTCAACAGTAATGATCCAAAAAAAGTCCATTCCTTTCTATTTTCACTATTATTCAAAACATGATTAAAAACTCTGTGTGTGGATGTAGATTTGGGTATATTGTGTGAGCAGAAAGATTAACAATCAAACTCAAATTCAGCCTGCATCCTATCTTGGATGAATTTTCGAATGCTGTGGAAAAATATGATGTAGCCGAGACGAGCAATCATTCAGATGCCGATGAAAATAATCTACAGATACCGAAAGGGTGTGGACGTGTATCTTTGCTTCTGTCACCAATATACTAACACCCCACACTCATACCCTTCGAACTCTGTTAGATAAAGTAACGAATGTGTTTTGCTAAAGTGTGTTGCAACGAGCACCTCACATTGCACTTGAATGTATCGTGTATTTCGTCGCATTTTACGACACATTCTATCTTAGTTTATTTATTATTAACTGTGAATTACTAATCATCAACTACTGAAAATAGATAGATAGATATTTTTAATTAATCAATTATTTAATTACAAAAAAAAGAAGTCAGTACAGAGTAATTTATGATTGAATAATGATTTTGTTGTTCATCATTATAAAACTCAATACATGTTCTGAGGAGAAGACATGTTGAATGGCCTATAATTAATGTTCTTCGAACATATATTCTCTTTTTTTATTCAAGTACATGTACTTTGCCATGGAAAACGGTTGTATCTCTATATTATATGATAGTGCCGTTTTCGCTTGTTTGTATTGGTTCATAACAATGGTACAGGTATACATCGACAGCTTGAACGAAAAAGAAAACTTTGAATATCAATGAAATGTTTTTTTTTGTGACATTTATACACTCAATTATTCACTTCTTATTGTCATCTAGCATATATGGTCTGTCAGCACTTTGTTTCTCTTTTTTCTTTTTCTATTCGAAGATTTTTTTTTCTCTCTCGCACGCCCTCGTTCTTTTTGTGAAGGCTGAATCATGTAAATAAATGAATGCATTAATAAAAAATTTATTTATTCTTTTTCAGTCTGTTCTTTTTTTCTTGCCTCTTATAAAACTGTGAACCTAACACGGCATAACAAATTCAATGAGAAGAAAAAGAAAGAAAAAAAAATGGAACATGTGCAATAGAAAAAAGAACAAAAATTACAACTGTTGTCATATTCTTTTCCTCTTCCATTAATATTCTAACAAAAAAGAAAGAGACGCAAAACGATGTAGTCTTGTCTTTGTGCTTCATTAACTCATAAGTACGAAAAATGATCTCGAATTTCTATTTATTCTTTTCTGTAACTATATTTTGTACAGCAATAAGTAAATAATAAGAGCATTAATTTAATGAATATGAATATTGATATTTATAGCACATGGACTTCCTCGTTATCGTCGTCAATTGAATTTTCCAAACAATAAAGTTTTATCCGCTCAAGAACGAGCATCTTGGGCAAGTAATCCAAGTGGTTCTATTGTAGGCACCTATTATTATGGTGCGTATCGCTTTTATAAATAAATAATTTTTACGTATATCTTATTTTTTCTATGTTCATATCTATCTAGGTGTTGGATCCGATCCAAACTATGGTTCATTTATAAAACCTCAGAACCGTCCAGATGTTGGTATCGTACCAATAAGCTATGATCCTGATTCTAGTCTAAGTAGTTATCTTATAAATCCAAATCATCCAACAGCACTTCAACAATCAGTACAACAATATTTCTACAATAATAATAATAATAACAATCATGTATGGCAAAGACCTAATAATTATGCTAATAGACCATACAATTACTATTCACCTGGAAGTCAAGGATGGTATGCAACTGGTGGTAATTACTGGTACAACAGAGGACAATCTCTTCCTCAACAGTCATGTCTGTTGGTGCTAAGCATTCTCAGTTTAATAATTTTTTGCGAATAAAAAAAGTATTGATTGATAATATCTAATAGTATGTTACTTAATAAGATTCTTGAAATATTTTCCTTTTTCTTTAATTATTCTTTATTTCATATTATCTAATTGTGCATAAATATATAAAATAAATTTGTATTAATCTTTATACTATTGTCCTATGGTATTCGGATGATCTTCATTCACTTGGAGTCCATCACTTTGAGAAAGATCTAAATTATCGAAATAAAATACAGCTTATTCACACACATAGAATTTTTTTGTATTAATCATGAGTTGCATAGAAGTATTATTTTATGGAAAACAAAACCAAACTTTCGAAGTCGTTCACGACTGTGTACGGACTGCTCGTGGGGTGTGGCTGTTTGTGTACCATGAAACTCCTCAAAGTTCATCAAGATAATAAATGAATGGATGTTAGTGAATGTTTACAGAGTGAGCGTAACGAGTTCTAGTTTTTGAACTACTTGTCGAACGGTTCTGGACAAAAGTTAGGTGTTAGCATCTTTTACTGATGCCCAAATTATTTGGATGAAATTCATTTGATTTCGTGTTGAACATCGTTTAAATGCATTAGAAATATTTTTATTAAAAATGTTAACATCAGTTTCAGAAAAAAACAACATTAATTGAATTTTATAAAAACAATCTATATATCATCATTTGTTATTCAATTATTTAATATTCAAATTGATTTAACATCAACAACAATAACATCAATATTAGTAAATTAAATTTTTATATATCGTTTTATTAATTATACCTATACAATATTAAATAAAGATGATTATGTTTTTTATCAAACAGTTAAAAAACAAGAAGAAACAAGAAAACTATTAAATATTCAAATGCCAATAATAATTATTAAAAATAGGTTCAACTATCGATGAAAATAAATTCACAAAATATGTTATTGCATGTGATCATTCATAATTTATTTATGGATAAATAATGAGATCAATCAAAATGATCTTAACTAATGTAACAACAATAGAAAAATAAATGAAAATGAGTTTAATTCGTTCATTAACAATTAGTTCATTTTATTTTCTTATTTCAATATTAATTTGTACACAAACAGAACGTTAAACTTTATAAACTTTTTATTTTTTATGCCAATACATCAATGGTAAATTAAAAAGGGTTTCACATTCTATTTTCATCAAGCAAAACAATTATTTGTTAATCAAATAGTAAATGTAGAGCTATATTCAATTAATCTTTTCAATAGCGACATATTTTATAAAGTACACTCTTCCAACTTTCTTAATATTTGAATAACTCGGGGTGTGGGTGAGAGTAAGGATGGGATCTTCTCTTTATCACCCCCACTCTCACATCACAGCCACCCTCACACCCACACCCCACATCCTCATAAATATATTTATCTACATGACTTCTCTAATAATTCATATCCAATATGAGTTGATTTTTGAAAAGATTCATTTCAATTTTCATCTTATTCAGATTTTCTAATAGTAAACTATTTGTTTAGTATGTGCATCTGACTTGTCAATTAATATCAATTATGTATTTAGCATAATAATATCAATCAATGAGTATAATATGTCATTCATGGTTACATATTCAATATGACATAAAACATCGTTTTGAGTGTGGGTGTGGGTGTGGGTGTGGGTGGGTGTGCGTGTGGGTATGGGTGTGGGTGGGTGGTGTGGATGGGTGTGGGGTGTGGGTGTGGGGTGTGGGTGTTGATTGCGAGAAGAGAAGCACCCACACCCCTACCCCACCCACACCCACTCACACACCCACACCCACTCACACACCCACACCCGCATCCACCCACGCCCACACCCACACCCAGAACACATTTTTGTGTCATATTGAATATGTAACC